AAAGGCAACGTAGAAGCCTCCACCATTTTTGGCATGACTGTCGGAAATCAGCACTTCAGAGTTGCCCCGGACAAAGGCTCTGGCTCGTGGTGCCATGAACCCTCCTCCTGATCTTCCAGCTGAGACGTTCTGAAGCCTGATAGTTGAACCATCATCGACTTGCAGGCGACTCCGAGAAACAAATGCGCCGCCATCATATTTGGCGGCATGACCATTTACAACCGTGATCTCAGACATATTTGCAACGATGACCGAGCCTGAACGAGCGTAGAATCCTCCTGCATACTGCTCGGCTCTGACATTTTGCATGTGAATGCCGGACTTGTTTGTGAGTTTCACGTATTTTCCCTGTGCGAGGAAGCCTCCAGCACTGATTTCCGCGCTGGAATTGCGAATGTGGATGGCTGATCCATCAGTCGAAAGCACGCTCCCATTGACTGCAAAACCTCGATAGGTGCATGCAGCAAACATCGCACACTGCTCAGACTACTAAGAACAAACACTGATGGCCAGTCTCCATCTTCAGTCACGTAAGACATGCACTGACCTGAAACCTACGAGGTCCTACAAGCATTAGCGACAAACACGAGGGAGCATGTGCGGACCGAAAACCTCCTCCAGATCTTAAGGCATGAGTGTGCTCGAGGTCGACATTGCCAGCTGCCATATTGAGCATGCCCTGTGCCATGAAGCCACCTCCTGCTGTGCGTGCTTCAGGCGGCACATGTTGCAGCTTTGTGTTCCTAGCAAGCCATCTTCATGCCCTCAGCCTGTCGGGACAGTTGCCTCGTAAGATTTGCACCTAAGCGGGAACTCGGCACGCCTCCATAGCAACCAGACCACATCTACCGTGTCAAAGGGATTGTTGGACGGCGCACTTCCCCCTTTTACTCGCATCAGTAGTGCCTTGCTGCATGTGGCAACCTTGAGCCCTCAGCGCTTCCAAAAGCAAACCTTCTTGCCCGGACTGCCAGAAATCCATACGAACTCAAAGAGAAACAGAAGGACAGTCCTAATCCAGCAGCTCGGGTTTGCCGGACTCGCACGAGCGATCTTTCCTTGCCCCCCACAACCATTGCGTAGGTTTTGGCGACTGGGGTTTCTGGGACGTCAGCTCAGTTCGTGCTAATATCTCGTCAGGGCAATGTTGCATCCGAGAATCCTGAAGCCTCCTAATTGTTGATGCTTCGCAAGGGCAGAGCTTCGGCTACATAGTCAGGACCAGAAAAGTCTGAGCTTAGCTGGTCATACGGTTGAGTTTAGTTTTTCCGTCTTCTTTCGGCCGTGCTCTCTACAGACATGACAGACAAACAGACAGACAGTCACCTGCCCGCTGGTGGCGGCACTGGGGCCCACACCACAACGACCACCTTCGGCGGGCTAATGCATGGGGCGGATAGGGCGCAGGGTTCGTCAGGACTTGTGATTGTGCAGTCTATAACTTGTTTGGAACTCGTGGTTCTAGAACAATATGCCTCGACTCACGCGCGGCTGCTCGGATAAGGTGTAACGTTTAACGGCTTACGAACGTAAAAAGCCATCCTTCTGTCCCCGGCCAAGCTTGTGGAGCAAGGGTGTGTGTGGGTGTGTCCCCAGACTTCTGAACATGCTAAGTGAGTCAATCGGCTTGTGTACGTATATACGTATATATGTATGTGTACATGTACATGTAGATGTAGATGTAGATGTGAATGTATGTGTATGTGTGGGCATATATATATATACATACATATATATTTCTGTAAATCTGTGTGTGCATATATATATATATAGATTTAGGTTGCATAGTATGTGGCTGCGTAGCTGGACGAAAGAGAATACTGGGAAACCGGATCTGGGGCTTAAAAATTAGTTTAGTAAACTTAGGCTCCGCGATTGGTAAGGCCTTGAACTCGGGGATCAGGGTTTGGCTTGCATTTCGCACAAGTTCGCGGACGCTTTGGGGAAAACAACGAAGGGGGAATCCTACCAAGGACTCCTGTTGCGTCGGGTTCCTGCATTCATCACCTCAACCACCAGCCCAATCGCCCAGTAGAGGTTTGTCTGTGAGGGCGGCAAAGGGTGGTAAGTTTAGCGATGATGTGGGGTACGAAGCAAGGACAAACCCAAGTGCTGCTTCAGGCTTGTTCTGGCCTCACCACTTGCGAAGAAGCCTCCACCTCGTGCCGCCGATGTCGCCTCCACAATGATTTGGGAGCCTCCTCGAAGACGCCTCTCAGGCAGGGCTGGCCAGCTGTGAGAGGAGTATGATCAACAGAAAGACTACGACTCCTCGTAAACCTACCCCCCCTACAGAGCTGCTTATACTCTTGTTACGATGACTAGCACTCGTACAACCACGAGTGCTGTCAAACACAAATAGAACGATAACACCAGAAACAGCAACCATAACACGCCACCCCAGCCCCCCACCCCTCTGCCGCCGCCACCACGGTCATCATGTTGTCTAAATCTATTCTTCTCACCAACAGTGCTGTTGCTCCGTCGGCCAGACGGTCAGCTAGACGGCTGCCACCAAACAGTTTCATTCAACCGGCAATTCAAAGCTCCGCTTCAAGAGAATCACCATAAGTCCCAAGCCGCCTGAGGCGCTGCAAGCAGTCTCATGTACGCCTGCTATTTCAGCCAGGCGTCAGTGTTCCTGCTGTGTAAAGGCCCCCACCGTCCTCGTGTGGTGCATCATGGGCACGCATGGGCACGCTCTGCCCTCATCTCTGTTTCCGATGGGATTTGGGGCTTGAAACAAAGACCCGAAACCCTAAAACAAGAGCCCATGCCCTCCGTCCTGCTCTGCCACGCTGCCGGCGACCTTGAGAAGCGAGGCCTCGACGAGGGCAACGTCCTCGGAATTGCACTGCGTGAGTCCAGTCAGTCGGCCCTACTACAGGCAGTCTGATGATACTCAATCCTCACAGAGCACATGCGCACAAGCAGATGCTGAGGGCCTGAGGGTAATCGTAACTTGGTGTGAGTGTTTAATTATCATGATTGCAAGCAGCTCGCCCTACGACGCGAAGGCAGAGCAGCTATGTGCAAACATGCAAAAGCAAAAACACTGGCAGGGCTCAACACGGCACAACAAATCATGTCTGAGCAGCTATATCACGATATGGCCGTTAGGATGGCAGATGTTCTGAGTTCCGATTTTGTGAAGCTCTCTGTAAGCAAGCATGTGGCCCTTCAGTTCTTCAAACGCGTCGAACTTGGTTATTCAGTTTCTATGACTCCCCATCACAAAAATGCACTGCTGCACATCCAAATATCACACGACTGGATTCGGCTTGATCATGCGGATGTGGGTGGGTAACAGCACGCGAGCAATCATTAACCGACTATGGGTGTGTCCCTATGTACTCGTTGCAGCACAGCGTCGCCACCAGCAGCCAAGCCACCACCCCAACGAGCTCCGCCACCTGTAACCTGCGTTTTCAGTGTCCGCATCTCGAATTCCCTTTCGTACGAAGGCGCAGGGCCTTGTGCATGCTAACAGTAGCTGCGTTGGCACGCTACTTCCGAATGTGAGGAACTCAGAATACTGCCTTCTTCAGAAAAGATGTTCAGGTATGTTCAGTTTTGGTTCAGACTTCCCAGTCTTGGGGCTGGATGCTAGAAGTTGAGAGCAAATTCAAATTAGCAAAGCAATGTTGAGACATGCGCAGGGTGGAAGAGAAGGATGAAAGGGGAACGTTTTCAACCAGCAACCATGTCTGACACTGCTTCTTCATCTCCAAAAACCATGAACCCTAAACTACAAACTTCAATTGACACTGAAACCACTGGCTAAACCACAATGTGACGATTGCGCGAAGCGGCTGTGATGTTCGACCTTTCCAGCGTAAGGGCTCCTGCGATGTTAACCAGGCATCAACGTTTGTCGGAGATCCACACTCGCTCGTGCACAGGGAAAGCATGCGTTTTGTGCCTGACAAGTCCCTGCTCTAATGTCTTGAACATGACAACCCTAAACCCTAAACTGAAATTCGCATAATTTTTGATCATCCTGGGCTCCTTTGCTGTGGAAGGTACCGCCGCCTTGAGCGGACGTGTTGGGCGCACTCTGCTGCGTCTCCACCTGGGCGTCCTGTAAGAAGATGCTCCTCGGTATGCTCCAGCCAGTTATGTTCATGAGTACCTACCTATCGGCCTTTGCTTCTCGGGGCTTGAACATTTGGGGCGATCACATCTAAGCCAACTGGCACGATGAAGGCTTCTGGGCAGAGGGGGGATATAAGAGGTGCTCCAAAGGCCTTGTCTCGAGGATACACTGTGGAACATGCGCCAGGACGTACTATGACGGATGCGTATATGGCACTTTCCTACATGGACAACTACGCTTTACTACATATCATAGTTCTAATCTAATTCTAGCCCTACGACGACGAACTTGACTAGATGCCTCCAAAGCTTAAGATGTTCCGTAGTTCCTGCAATGCATGTTGAAACAAGACTGATCATGAAATAACCTGTTTCAGGCAGGGGCGCTCTGCTTCGAAGCGCGCCGACCTCACGCGTAGGTTCCCGGTGATCCGCAAGCTGCCTTCCGTCTGAAGCGTCACGAAGCCGTTGCCAAGGAGCAGTGAGGGTTCCTCACTGTTGCCAGGCCCCAGAAGCTCGCAAACGGAGGCAGTTTGTGGCCTCAGCTGCAGGCTTCAGGGTTCAGGCATTGGGTCTTTGTCCTACCACTGCCGGACTTGGGTTCTTGCAGCTCTCAACTTAAATCAAAGCTGGCGGCTGAATGCGGAAGCACCTGCCCACCGGTAGCTGATGGCCACAAAGGTCATCCCACTGGACCAGTTCGCAATCCTGAGGCCAAGAGGGTCGCCCTCAGGATCCGCAGTCCCGGCAATGCATTCACCATCCGGCGAACCCCCGGCATAACAAGCCAAGACCTCTCTCGTAAACCCCAAACATCGAAAACTAGCCTCCAACCACGCAGAGCAGCACAACATAGCACAAGCAAATCCAAAACGTCGGCAGACCTTCATGAATCGACCGACCCGACCACACGCCCTTCCTGACACAACTGCACGATTGTGTCTGCCTGCTTTGTTTATGTGATTCCCGACTGCCTACTATAGTATACGTCCCAAAATCCAGAACTTTGACTTAAACTTTAAACTGACATAAACCCCCGAGCCCTAGACTTCAACCCCAGGCCTCGGTACTCCACTGCAGACGCCGCCCCGAGATCTCAGAAGCCGGTACTGGGCCTGGGATTTGCTTCGGTCGGTAACAATGCAATTTCCACAATTCGCCTTCCCGACAGTCGCCTGAATTTTGGGCGGTTTGTTTCACATCTTGTTCGGGTCTGTAGGTAAGCCGCACACCCTAAACTTCTCCCTTGCGAGCCAAAAGATGCGAGATCAAAGCTAATGGTGGGGTGATGGGCAAGAGAACCAGGATCTCTATCTGTCTGTGCCACTCGAAGTGCCCCGCAAAAAAGCGAATTTCTGTGGGAACCTACCATGTTCATGCACATCATGTTGGTAGTAATATTTTAGGGCACACGCACGTCACGCTGGGTTTTGCATCTCCGCTACTTGGCATCTGTGGTTGACTAGGGGCCGATGGCATTGCAAAACGACCTGCAAGTGCTGAGAAAAGCTTTAAGGAAGCTTCCCTACTACATGCATACACAGGTCGGTGCTACATTGCACCGTGGCGGTTGCGGCATGTGTTTGCGAAGTACATGCCAGGCAGTGCTGCAGCTCAGAAATTGTCACCATGACTGGGCCGCAGGAGGGCTACAGCACCTAGTGCTTCAACATGCGTGGCCTCAAAATGCTTAACCTAAAGACTGCCAGAAGCTCCCCGCGTGGCATTAACAAAATCTGGGGTCGGGCCATGATTGAGCCTGCCGGGTATCACGAGCCAGAATCAAAAGTGAAGGGCGAAGTGCAGCCAAAAGGCCGGCGGATTGAACGTGCTTCGTAAAACGTCCGGCGAAGCACGTGAAAGCCAGAAGCGCTGCTGGCACTAAAAGGAGCACCTTTGCTACCCGAAGCAATTTAGGATCAAGCTTCGGCCGCACCATGCTTCAAAACTCAGCACCGATCCTGTTGCCGCTTGTGGGCCTCACACGGATCGTGCGCACAAAATCGTATTATGGCACCTCGCTTGTAAATTGTAAATCACAACAGAAATCACGGTTACAGAGTCTTGAATGCACGCTCGTGCGGGGGGTCGTTCTCTCGGCTGCAATCTCGCCGCAACTACACATGTAGCGTGCCTACAAATGCTGAACACAGCCAGACGGAGCCAAACGGCTGCATTGCACCCGCACAGTTGTCGACAGTGCTGTTTTAGCTTCGAGTCTTGATTGCTTAAGATATCTACATGTTCCTCCAGCACATGTATTGCTACGACTCGAGAAATGGTACTTGGTGGTTGTAGCGGTCCTGGAGGCGGCGGTGGTGGTGGGTTGAGACTGAAGTAGTAAAGCAATAATGGCTTTGGCAGAAGTAGCTGTGCTAGTGTACACCAGCAGCAGCAGTAACTCGTAGTCTCTTCTACTACTTCGGTGCTGCTCCTCCTACGGGCTGCTGCGCCAACTGTTGCTACAGTGCTGCTGAGGTGGTGCTCAGGGACGGGCGGTTTCCGGATCGCGTGGCACGAAGCCACCAACGAGGATTGCCAGATTCACACTGGAGAGCGGATGTCCTGCTCAAACGTCCCTAGCATCGGAACTTCGATAGAACACCTTTGCAAACTCCGCTTTGGCAGAAGCTTGCCAGTGCATTAAAGGCTACAAGTTTCGGATGCCTCGAAACGAAGCTCTGTTTGTCGTTCCATTTCGTCTCGAAAAGAACGATAACCTGGCGTATGGAGCTGTACTTAAACATGTTAGCAGAGCGCTATGCCGTTGCTGCTTAAACCCCACATACTTCATGTAAACATAAATTGCCGTAGTTCTGCTGGATGACTACTCACTTGCTTTTTGGATCTTGTCGAACAGCCTTGTCTTTGACTCGTGGCCAAAGCTTGGAGTTTGCGGCCGTCCCAGATCGCAGAAGAGGGTCCGTGTACTGATAGGCGCGTGTTGCTTTGAATTTTGCATGTACCCCTTTTCAGTGACGAATTTCAATCGAAGAACCTGGCCTTCGTCCAGTTGCGCTTCCCGGAGAAGGCATGTGGCAACCTGGGTCGGCTTGCCATGAACCGGCTGAGAGTCGACGGTCACAAGTCGGCTTAGATTTTAGCTCCTTTTTTGCCCCGCACATCATGGCTACACCCAGGATTTGTTGTTGGCTTTCGGACTTTTCCTTCCAACCCGTGCGCCCTCAACCGTCCTTCTTTCTGGAGCGTACCGTAAGTGCAAAACGAGCTTCCTCGCATGTTGCAGTCTGAAAACATCTGGAGGATCAGTTCGGGTTTTGCCGTTCCTGGTAAAGCTTTATGTGAATTTCAACCACGGCACAGCAACACGATCAGCAGGAACACTGACCAGAAGTATCAGCAGCACACTGGCTGCATCAGCTGTTGCTGCAAGAAGCAGAGGTCACTTTTTGTCAAGGGCAGAAGTGGAACTAGCTACAGCAATGCGGCCATGTCAAACACACTCACAGCAACAACAACATGAATGAGTATAGAACTAGTTGCAATGCTGCAACTAGAAGGAAGAGTCTGTCACCAAGCGCGCCTAAAAGCCAAGAATGCTGCTCCACCTGAGGTCCCAGCGGCGCATCCTTGCGAGAAGGCTAAGACCTTTGACGGGCGAGTTGAAATCTGCAGCAGACAGCCAATCATCTGTGCTTATACGGATGCAGTTGCACCATCGCCATCAACACCACCATTGCAATCATGAGTGATGTCTGTGCTCCCCCATCACCATGGTCATCACCCCAGGCCATCACCACCACACCCTCGTCTTCCTCATCACCACCTTCGGCTTCACCAGCACTATCACGAGCAGTATCAGCAGTTTTTCAACTGAACAGGAAACTAGAAGTAAGGCATGATCGACTAGCCCCCCCCCCTCCGCCCCCTCCCCCCCCGCCCCCCCGCCCCCCAGCACGCACGCTTCAACCCCTAACACTGCGAGGTCACAGAGTATCCTCCAAATTCCGAACCTCGGGTTCAGGACTGAAAGGCCAAAAGCCGAAGGCAGAAGCGTCTGGGAGATGATCCATGCTGTGCCTGCTAACTGGTGGGGACATGCTGGGTGTACGGCGCCATGAATTTCTTGGCCATCCTGTGCAAGAACTTCTTGGGATCTTGGGGCTTATAGGATATAGTCGCTCATGCCCATGGACGATGCCACAGGACAGGGTCGTGATACACTTTCGAAAAACTCTCATCGAGTTGCGAAGTTCACTCACCTAGGGCTTGAACACGACTGGAAGCAGCTGTGCGATTCCTGCAGCTCTCTCGGTACGCCCGGGTCCAGCCCACAATCCTGTTTCGACCCTCGGATGAGGCCTCGCACGCTCTGACAGCGGCCTCCCTGGCGCATGCTATGCCTGCAAGCGCTGCTGATGTGCCAAGAGCTGCAAGTGCCAGGGTACTGTGCTGCGTCAGGTATCAACAGCTTCGTTCGACCACGTCAATGGTCCTCGTCGCCAGGGAAAAAACCCTGAACTCAACCCCCCCCCCCCCCCCAGCCCAACAACAACAACCCAAAACCACGAGCTTCCTAATTAAGCACGATTCCGAAAACCCCGAAACCCCCAAATCCCTTTTTTTTTGGGCTGACCAAGTCCGGCCCTGCAAAGCTCGATTTCTTTCAAGGTTGGCCTTTAAGGAGCTTCTTTTTTTCCAGTGTTCCTGTAATGGTTTTTTGAAGGTGAGGCTTCCGGTCTTGGGGCCTTGGCTTTACATCAGCTCTCACTACAGGGTTTATCGCTGGCCCGGTAGCGCTCATGGGAATAACAGAGGGTAAAGCGTTGGGTGAGCTTACTGTCCTTGGGTGACGGGCCTCATGTCAGGTTCATGGCCCCTGTAGTGAAGACTGCTGAGCTGTGCATCTATGCTCAGGCCGAGTGTTTCGAGAAGCCCAATGTAGGGAAACCCTCAATCTTCGGCGGGCTCCTTGCAAGGAAGTGCATTGCAGCAGTTCTACTTCCACAACCGGGAACGCGGAAAATCAAGGACCTGCCTTCTTCGAAGCCAGCACAAGCATAGGACCTCAGAATTTGGCACCTCTTTTGAAGTTTGTGGGCCAAGCATATCTTTGAAGTGATGGTGAAAGCGTGTTACACACGCATTCTCGACTGAGACAGTTGTCATCCCGAAAAGCGCTGCACAAACAAAACCACATGCAGCCAACATCTCGGATGCCAAGCCCCAGAGCATCTTCTGGAATTAGGCTACTGCTAGTAGGTGTTTGCTTCACAGTCCGTATCGCAACTCTACAGGCACGGAGGTTCCAGATTAATTATCGAGAAACGTGCTTTTCCGATGCTTCCAATTGGTGACAGCCGTAGCAGTAGCATCAGAACCCTGCATGACGCCAGTCTAAGTGGTTGTTCAGAGAAGCTATTCCAACCTGTGCTGAGACTCAAGCTGGGCAGGACGCACCCACGCCTTCGAAACAGAATTGGGGCTCTCAGATTCTAGGGCCTTTCTACGGTGTCTGATGTCAGGTTCAGATATTGCAGATTGCAGAGCTCCTGAATCTGCTGGACACACAAAGAGGTAATCGGGTTCGTTATCGTAGTACGCACAGAAGAAGTAGGCAAAGCAGCAGGAGCGGCAGCAGCAGCAGCGGCAGCAGCAGCAGCAGCAAGAGCCGCAGTCCAACTAGCGTAGCAAAAAGACAGGCGCCGGCAACAACAGCAGCAGCAGCAGCAGCAGCAGCAGCACGAGACAGTAGTGGTTGGGGTCGTCGCCGAAGAAAGTTGGCGCTACAGTTGTCTTCAATCTCCGTTGCAACAGCACCGGAACCAAAGCGCATGAACATTGGTTCTCTCAGGGGCTCCTCTGCTTTTACTGTCACTTCATCCGTGCCCGCAAATCCAAGTAACGTTGCGTAACAATTAAATAAGTCGTTCTTCAGCACTTAGCCCCGACGACTACGAGGTCCGTGAAGCGCTCAAAACTCTCTCCCGCAAACCCCAATTCCAAACCCGAAGCCCGGACGCCTCTCCCTGCTGCTTCCGGGCGTTCTCCCCGGAGACCCACCAACCACGTGGGCCGACGCCTGCCGAAAATGCTACAGAGGATTGATAGCCGTCGTATCAGGGAAGTGGAAAATGCGAGAAACAAGAGCAACCGAAATCGGTGCTGCCTGTCCCAACACTAGCTCTGGCAGTTGTAAGTAACCGACACATTTTGCCAAAGATTGTCGAGCTATCTAGGAGCCCGAACAGGTTTTGGGGGTGTAGCATACATCATAACTCCATCATATCTCTTTGGCGGGCTTTTCCCAGCAGCAGACCCCAGTGGCAGGTGATGTCAAAGACCCGAGGCTATGCCGTCCAACTACAATACAACGAACATTCGCAACACAGCCAAGCCCCAAGCACGCCTTCGGATACAGCTGCCTCGATTTCAAGATTGGACAAGTGTTCATGGTTTGCGAAGACACGAGCTTTGAGTTTGGAGAAAAAACTGGTCGTCTAAGAGTCACAGTGCCC